GAAATTCAAAAACAAATTTTTCTCTAATAATACGACAATTCAGAATGTCATGAAATTATAGATTCAAAATTTTGTAACAATCAAATAAAAGTTTGAATATTTTAGATTGAAACTATATCCACACTAACAAGTTTTATGTGACAAAAAATGATACATGTTCATATTGATATATGTCCATAGTCATGATGTGCCTATATAAGGTCATGACGTGATGTCTTCATGACCATATTAAGACATGTCACATGTTTTTGATCGTCTTGATAAGGCCGAATGAGCACAGGCTTCTAGAATCTTTACCTCATGTTATTGTTTGAGATTATAAGACAAATTCAAAATTTTACCAGGATACTAAATGTCAATCCATATATAAATAATATATTACAGTACCAGTAAAATTTTGGCAGGAGTTACCAGAGAGGGAGACACATTACCCCACTTCTCCAGTTAAATGCAAAGGTCAAATGCTGATGGGTCAATGTTTAAGATGCTAGGCAGAGAGCTACTGAAGCATGACTTATAAACATGCGTTATTAATGTCAGGATCAAATTATAAATAACCCAGTTAAAATAATAACATCAATATGTTATTGATATTAGAATCATGTTTTAAATAACCCAGTTATAATAATCTATCAATAATAATGAACAATACCAAGGTTGAAAAAGTTTCCTGTGAATGTTTAATAGCACGAAAAAATAATCAAGGTATTGAAATATAGGAATTTGGGAAAATAGCAAAGTTATTGTCACGGTCAATGACCATTGAAATGGCACCAATTAAATGGAACAATTAATTGATTGACTGATCTATTGTCTTGTACTATTATGTAACTACATATATTCCGAAATTTCAACCCCTTGTGGGAGTCTGGATACGTTGAGCTCATTTTAAAAGACTGGCGCTACCGGAATACTTAAGAGCACTGATGTGGTACAGTACCAGAAGAGGAGGGGGTGGGAGTAAATTTGTACAGCATAGCAATTGACATGTCGACAAAGACGCAAAGCCCCGCCCACAAAGTCACGAAAACCTTAGACAATGGCGGCTAGACTTACCGAGTTGGCAAACATTTTCTTTGCTATCAACCTTCTTCAAGAAAGAAAATTCAGGGTAGGCGATATGCAAATGAATCATATATTCATAGTGTTTCATGGAACAGGCGGGGAAATTGTTTTAAAAGCCTCTGTATTTTGCTCCCAAAGGAAGAGGGAAAAGCTGCATTCAGTCAACCTCATTGTCGGCAAAGGCCAAGTCACTGATGCACACTGCTCGTGTAAATCTGGGTATCTATAACCAAGCATAGACATCTAGGCCTAGGCTCACGTATGTTTCGCGTTGACAACCAGCTGTCTAAGGAAATTGAAAAGTTTTTGATCATGTGACTAAATGACGCTCGCTGATTAGTCGGTTTATCTGTCAATCAAATCTCACCAAGATATTAATTGAAGACCATAAGTTAATTTTTGTTTATCTCCTGCTTCTGTTATTGTTTGCCCAAATTGATTTATTCAACTTATTTTATTCTAGAATAATTGGTTTGTAATGTTTTTCGTCAAGAAGGCATTAAGATTAGATTAGTTTTATTTACTAAACCTGATCAAAATTAGTCAATGGAATGTGTTTTTTTTTAATTTTCATATAATGACAATAAAGTTGAAAGAAAAAAAAAGTATTTTATTGTGTACAATTATTTTTTATTATTAAATATTTATGGATAGATTTGATGTTAACATTCCCTTGTAAGCTTATGTAATGCTATAGTTTTATACATTATTATATTTATGTTTAGTTAACACCACTTTGTGTACAGTATGTAATATCAAAAAAAAAATTGAAATTTAACTACAAATTAATTACATGTACACACTATTTTTTACATTACAGTACATCATTTATTATTTCTTTTGCTTAAATCAACATTTGTATGAAAATATGTTTTTAAATGCTAAAAATATACTTATTAATCCCCATACATATTATCTTTTTAGAATTATATATTCATATATAAACATTTAATATTGTGAAGTGTGAAATATTTTAATACTTTATTATATGCAAATTGTACACAATTTAAAAATAGACATTTATCATAAATATGTAAATCACTAAATGAATAATAATACTAATTTACAGTTAAATTTTATTACTACTATTGTATGTATTATTATATTGTCTTTATATTGCTCATTCTATTTTTAAACATTTCTGTATGGGATTCTACCACATTATAGAAAAAAAATTACAGTTCTTAGTAATGTAAATAT